GGGGGATCTTGGGGGGATCTTGGGGGGATCTTGGGGTGATGTTGGAGGGATCTTGGGGGGTCTTGGGGAGATCTTGGGGGGATCTTGGGGGACTTTGGGGGGATCTTGGGGGGGATCTTGGAAGGATTTTGGGGGAATCTTGGGGGGTCTTGGAGGGATCTTTGACGGTTTTTTTTGGGAGGCTTTCGGTAGGAGGGTTGCATTTCTTTTCATCGGCAGTGAGGGCTGGGCTGCATACCCTTCTGGTTATACATCACCGTCCTGACCACTATTGAGCTTTCGTCCCTGCCCGTGGCTCTCAAGTTGTCTCCCAGCAAGGCGTGAAGTTGCCTCTAAAACACCTTGTGTCCAACTTCCTCGACACCAGGCCATACTAATATCCTGCAAGCCTGACATCCGGCATCGCCTTCATGCAAAAGTCTCTGAAGTCTGAAAATGCATTGGCTTTAAGCTTTTTCTTGGGCCCTTCAAATCCAGCTGATGTGTACGGGATCATGAAAGACAGCCTCCACATCAAGGGACTGATGATGGCAAGGCGCGTCGTGTTCATTGGAAGAACAGGAGAGCATTCATTGACATGCCGCAAAGCGACGAGCACAGACTGCTTAGCATGGTCCCTCAAAGAAACGGCGAGACCCCACAAGGATGTGATGAATAGCGATGGCATTACTTGCACACAGAAATAGGGGTAGCAGTGGTCGGAAGCGCTGGTATGGTTGCTTTGTGGGTGTTTCTTCAAAGCTAGAGTAGGGCTAGTGAAAGTATCATCGGGCCGCTCAAACAACTGCAAGTGTTGTTATGAGGAGCATCGTTGTTTAGAACAATATGGAAACTACTGACCTTGCTCATAAGATAAATCATATGGATGATGCAGTTTGCATAATACAGGTTGAATAGTGATTTTCAGCACTATAACCATCATGAGTACAGCCCTAATGGCACAGAAGGTGGCACGAGAACTGCAATCTTGACGCCTCACCTCTCACGCAAGCTGCCAGGTGTGGCGGACTCAGACCTTCCGGCTGTGCGAGGGAGGTCGCTGGTGGCGCCCACCGCCATGTGAGGCCCAGCTAAGGGTGTAAGAGTCTTATCCCAAAGGAAGTGTGCACTCGCTGCACAACCATATTCTAGTAGTATTGGCCTGAAGCCTTTTCACATAAGATGATTGCCTGAGCTGCCGTATGGCTATGGAATAGTCAAGCACATGTTGTGGATTCGGGAAGCTTGATCACTAGCATGAGCATCTACTGCTGCAGTGTGCTATATTTTTTTGAAAGGCATGTTCTTGTTCCACGCCACAAGAGTCGGCAGATGCTTTGCCACTGCCCGACCTGAACTCCAAGCGGCAGTCGACATAGTTGAGTAGGCAGCTGCAGAGGCCGCAGAGAAGCAGAGGCAGCTCGGCATTGCGAATACATTGCCAGGCATCTTCAATCTCGACATGTTGCTATGTGGCTGTCATTGGAGCTGCTCCTGCCTTTTAGTGATACTGGAGTGAGATAGTTCAACGACGGCGCGCGATTTTGCAGAGTATGTGGTTAGGGCATGAATGGCTCATTGTCAAGATTGTCTGCTTCCCTGGGGCAGATCTTCAACAAGACAGTGTTGTATCTCGAGGGTGCGCAGGTAGATCCTCTGACACTTTGGTAGAACTGTGGAACAGCTAACATCTTTCCAACTGGAACCGTAGGTGAGAAGGTTGCCAGCCTTCGGCTCATCTGAGGAACTCCAAGTTCTCCTCATTTGGAGCCCCCGAGGCCTTGTCCACGGTGTCCCACAGCTTGTTAGGCGTCATGTCTGAGTTCCAGGCGAGCTTCAGGCAATGAATGGCAGGCTGTCAGCAGCTTCAGGTGGTGCGGTTAGGTTGTCCCATTTCAGCGAAGGAAATATCCTGAAGTTGAGTCAAGGTGTTGCTTGATGCTTCGTACACATGAGCAATCGTCAAAACTCGCGCATTAGGCACGAAGAGAAGGAATGCCGTAACACATAGGAATCGCGCAAAAAGACCCAAGATCGATAAGACCACCCCAAAACCGCTACCCCTCAATCTAGGACGGAAGCATGACTGTGTTTTGGACGAACCCCCCAAAAGCGACACCTTTCTTGTACCCTACGCCAAAAGCTCCAAAAGCGATGGGATCCCCCCAACTTGTCCATGGCATCCGACTATACAAGGAGTTTCAGCGAACGCTCACATGGCTTTGCTATCTCATGTCGAGCGTGCTGAACCCTCTCTGAGCCATCATGAGCAGTATTGGCCTGAGCGTCTATGTTCCAAAGATACATTACAATGGGATCTGGAGGGCCTCTCGATGGTGACAGGAATCTTGGTTTCTCAGTTGTGGCCACGTTCCCACAGATGGCGCATACAATGCCATTTTTCCAGAATATCAACGAGCAATAATTACATGTTCTAGTCCAGGATGTCTTGCGGCTGTGCAAGTGGTTGCCTTCGTACTTTGTACAGAGAAGGCAATTATTGTTGAACCCTGGGTTTGATAAACAACCAAGTCTGGTAGAGCAAGGCTACGTCCGGAAATTCCACCTGTGACAGCAGAGTTCGATGGCCTAGCACCAAGTCCCTGTTCCCAGTAGTAAGAACATCCCCGGCTTCAGACTACAATTCAGGAAGCTCTTGTCTTGCAACATTTTGTTAGTGCTTGCCTTACCGAACTTGTGTGGGATGTGAAAAACCACAGGAGGCTTCTCCCATTCCGGCGCCGCCCCCCGCACCGAACCCGGCCACGGCCGTGAAAGCCTCCAAAGGCACTCGTGATCTAAATATGTGGCAGGTCTCTGTCGTGGGTAGGAGGAAAGGATGGGAAAGGGATCCGGGTCAGGGCTTCGGATCCGTGAGTTTGGCAGGCCATCCTAGCGACTCGGCTCATGCTGACAAGCTGGAGATCGCTTTATGTGTAAAAAGTGGCTGTCTAGAGGTGGTCCCAGGCCCCAAGCCTATTCAGGACAAATTCAGCTGGTCAATCGAGCGCGACTTGCATCGATCAGACAACTCATCTCCACATTCTGAATGTATGAGGTTTTTGGAGACTCCTGCTACTGCTATGCACTGTCATAGAGTTAGCTTTACTCCCTGCAACGGCAAAGAGCCGCTGGCAGTTCAGAATTTTTCGAAGGTCATGCAGCGCATCAATTTATGCCGCTCGTAATCCAGAGAGCTGTATGACGGCTCACTCGGTCCATGCGTGCTCCCCTGCAGGCAGCTCCGTCATGCCAGCCAACTGGAGCCAGGCAGACATTGATGAGGACAAGATGGAGTGCTTATTCTTTAGATCATTAAGCGATTGGGCTTCTGAGAGTCAACGTATTGCCAAAATCTTCGCGTCAAACTAAGACAAAGCCTTGGAGGCGTGCTCTGTAGCCCATCGCTCCATCGACTCCCGTCTAAGTCATCGCACAAGTTTGCCAGAAGAGCACCAAGAGTCTGAGACCATGCTGACTAAGTACCAGGAGCTTGAAAGACAACGCCTGGAAGAGAAAGCCGCGCAGGACGCGCTAGCTGGGATGCCGGGATGCGTAGAGTTGTCTGGGTGGTGCACTTTTGGACAAATTACCCTAAATACGCGCAGAGCTCCTCCTTCTGGCTTGAGGTTGACGACTTGTTGTAAGGATTCGAGAAGAAGATACGGTCGCTTCTGGCGACGTGTTTGCTGTTTGAGGTTAGCTTTGTTTCAACTGTTCCTATTAGGGCTTAGGACCCATACCGTCCAACATTTATAGGGGCAACATGAGGTGTTGCACGACGAACAACTTTAAAAAAAATCAAGGCAGCTACCCAAGCTCGCGGATCCGGTTCCAGTGGAGTTCACACTGTTCACAGCTGCAAGGCACGTTGATGATGTTTGCTGCCTGCCGAGCAGTAACTGGCTGCTACTCAGACACTTACTTGGTAAACGCTGTTGTTGCGAACTAGCTTGCAATAGTTTCCCGCCCGTGCATGCATACGCCAAAGCTTCTGTCCCTGGGCCTGAATATTGTAGATCATTAGCCGCAACTTCAGAAGCAGGAGCGCCGAAAACGGGATCGAAATCGCAGCGTGACTGGAGGCCGGCTGTTGAGCAATCTCAAGAGCGCAAGTCTCGTTTTTGTATCCAAAGCATGTGTCAAAACCATTCAAGAAGCTTTCTCGCTCATGTGAGTTTCCAGGCAGACGGCAGACATATGTGTCTGATGTGTACAGTTGCTGTTCTCCATTTGTAAAGGCGAGCGTTCGAAGCCCCTTACTTGCTCGAAGCCAGAACAGGATGGAATGCAGAGCTCATGAGTGCCACCTGAAGATCGTGTGATCCTTCAGGTGGTAGCGGGGCACTCTAAGGTGCTGCTGGCTTGGGGTTTGCGTGCGAGAGCAAGCTGGAGGCAGGCGGCGCTGACGTTCCTCGATCCGACGAGTGGCGGCAGCAAAGAAGGAGCAGAGAGGAAAGGAAAACTGGAAATTGTTGAGGGCTCCAATCCGTCTGATTATCGCAAGTGGAGGCCAGGTCCGACTTTTACCTGCTGGCGCTTCAAAGCAACTATTTCACAGAGCGTTGGGCCCCAAGCTGCTAAAATACATCCAGGGAGAAGCAGAAGAAGCCCTGGAGGATTTGTCCATAAAAAAAGGTTCCTGCAGAGAGTGGCTACAAGCACATCTTCAGCATTCTTCACGACAAATATAAAGAACTGCAGCAAGAGTCTTTGCACAGAAGTTTGAGAGTACTCTTATCAAGTCATGATCAAGCCCGATGAAAGCTACCGCAACTTCATGGTCAGGCTCGACACCTCGCATCGACAGTTGGTCGAGCACGGCATCACTCTGTCGGAAGAAGTCCAAGGCTGGTTCCTGATGCGGCAACTGGGACTTGACCAGCCCTCTGATTCTCACGAAGCGCGACGTCTTCGCGGCAGATGGATTCGATCACGAGCTGAACTTGCCAGGTTCGGTCCGCTCTTGGTCAATTGTACAGGGCTCAGCTGCACTGATTTTAGCAAGCCCCGGGGTGGTGCACTTCCGAAATTCGCTGGGAAGACTGCGGCAACCTTCTGGAAGTGTCCAGGACAAGAAGACCAGTCATGGATTCAAGGGTGCAGCCAAAGGGCAGAACAAAGGGCAGATGGGCGGCGCGTGGCAGCTACACGGGTCATGAAAGGACGCATAGACTTCATCAAGAGCAAGACAAGATGCCACATATGCAAGCAGCTTGGACACTGGAGACGAGAAACTTCCACGACCAACGATGTGCGATACACGGGCGTCCTTTCCTTCGACGAGTACCAGGACCTGAAGCCCATTGCGGAGGTCATGGTGGCGGAGAGGCAGGACGAGCAGCGGGCCAGAGCCAGTGGATTAATGGAAAATCAGCGAAGACGGCAGGAGGGTGTGGCGAATCCGCCGGAAGTCCAGGATGGGCATGTTTGCGCCAGAGGGTGTCCCAGGATGCCCGGTGGATGCGAGCCGGCTGCAGCCGGCGCATCGAGATGCACTACTTGGGCGGCCAGACCAAGATGATCGCAGACTTGGTGGTCCGGCCCGGTGCCAACAAGAGCCTTTCCAAAATGTGGACGGGTGTGACAAGGTTTGAAGGTGGCCCATGAGCAGGGCGTTTACGACATCCATCTCACGGACACCGTGGCTGCAGAGTTTGAGCAAGAGGTACTGAGCCAGGGGCTTGGGCCGAGAGTTGGAGGTAGTTCTCATTGGAGAGTACACGCTTGCAGCGTTGCAGCAGTGTCTGAAGGGGAAGGGGTTCAAGGTTGAGTGTAGCGGTTCTCCCGAAACAAGGTTCCCACACACCGTATTGCTGTCAAAGGAGTTTTTGAAGTGGGTATAGGCGCTGTTATTGATACTGAAGCTGACACTTTATACGGTAAAAAGCTAAAGCAAAGCATTCCGCTGCTGAGACGGAACAAGGACACTATGCAATTCCGGTTCTGCCAGACATTCGAAAGATGAGCGACATCGGCTTTGACAGGCTCATCAGTGACCCCCGAGAAGGACGTTTCCCCAGCCCACCGGGGCCTCGAGTGCAGCCATGTGAAGGGAGTACGAGGAGATCCAAGATGATGGAGAGCTTGAAGATCGGCGACGAGGAGAAGGACAAGGTGCATGTCCCGACAAAGGACATGAACGACGTCACGGACATCAGCGAGGACGAGCCTTGGACGCCGATCCCCGGCACGACCAAGATGACGTGTGGAAGGCATGGCAAGAATGTCAAGCTGAGCATGGACGAAGTGTACCGGACGGACAAGAGCTACATCAAATCTGCGAGCTGCGTGTTGATGGCATAGAGAGACTCAAAGGAAGGGTCCTGGTTCGGGTACCGCGGGATACTTGCTGTTCCCGAGGAGCAGTCATCGAATTGCTCAAGCCAGTCTATAGAGACTTGCTGACGTGCCCCGAGCGTGGCACAAGTCGTTCCCCAAAGCGCTGGCCAGCGTGGACTGCGTTGCGTCGAAGCTTGATGATCAGTGCGTGTACATGTGCCGTTCCCGTGATGGTGTGTTGCAGGACATCACTGCCTTGCATGTTGATGACATGGTGTGCGGTGGAGCGTTACCCTTCAAGTATTTCAAGAAGAAGGCAGGAGATTTCCTCGGGCGTTTCTTGAGGCAAGAAGAGGATTTTTCAATCAAAGTGAGCCAGAAGGATTATGCTGAAGGTCTTGAGTTCGTGCGGGTCTCCAGGCACCGTCGCAGGCGAAGAGAGCCCCCGGTCACGGAGGAGGAGCGCAAGCAAACGAGGGTAGTGTTGGGAGAACTGAACTGGTTGGTGAGCAGCAGCCGACCGGACCTCGCCGCTTTTTGTTCTTTGCTCCAGCAAAGGGTCAACAATGCTTGTGTGAAGGACCTTGTAGAAGTCAATAAGGCAGTTGCCATGGCACGTGATTTTTCTTGCGTGGGTGGTGGTGAAGTGGTGAAGCCCATTCCCGAGCAGGATGTTGAGTTCTGCGTGTGGAGTGATGCCTTGTGGGCAAACCCGACTGAAAAGAAGTCCCAACGGGGCTACATCATAGCCGCGGTGCCGAGTGCCTTGAGAAAAGAATCGTGGGCGGTGGAAGTCTTACAAGCAAGACAGGCAAGTTGCATCAACGTTGGGTGCAGAACTGCTGGCATTGTCAAGGGCATTGGCGGAAACAAAGTGGATTCGCTCGATATGGTCAGAGTCAGAGGTGATGAATGCAAATTACACGCTGGAGACCAACGACAAGTGGTCAGCCCAGGTGCCCATCACAGCATGTTTGGACTCCAAGCCAGGGTACGATCATAGTCATGGACAGCTGATTACGATCAAAGACAAGAGACTGGCCATTGAGATGTTGCTGGTCAAGCAAGACGTCGCTTGTGATAACGTGTTCACCAAATGGGTTCCCATGTACCAGATGTTGGCGGATAGCATGACGAAGTGCGGGGCACCGATGGCACTGCTGCGACGGACCATCAAGGAGGGCAAGACCGTTTTGATCGAGGATGACGAGGTCAAGAGATGGGCTGGTAAAGGGTAGTATTATGTGTGTGTCCCGACATGCACGACAGCAACAAACCCTTTTGGGGGTGTGTGAGTTTCCAGGCAGACGGCAGACATATGTGTCCGATGTGTACACTTGCTGTCGTCCATCTGTAAAGGCGAGCGTTCGAAACCCCTTACTTGCTCGAAGCCAAAACAGGATGGCATGCAGAGCTCATGAGTGCCACCTGAAGATCCTGTGATCCTTCAAGTCACAGCCCTATGCGAGATTCCCAAGGTCACGACGTGTCCAGTGGGCTTTGTCGGATTTGCCACCATCTCTTTGCCAATGTCGCTCATCCCTCTCCAACGCGCATTCTTCAACATCGAACACAACACCTTTTTGATCGTCATGTGAATTCTTGAGGCTCATCCGCGGGCCGGGGCGGAATTTTACGTGTAGCTTATCATGGTAGATATTTGCATAGGTGGAATGGCATCTTATTTAGATGATGCAGCATTCAGGAAGTATGCTGCAATCATTGTGATCAAGCTTCACGAAGAGCGCCAGACATGTTATCAACCCATGTCAGCCGTTTGCATGTGTTCTCTGAGCAAACGTGCATGTGCTAGCACTTGGCACAGAAGACTGTCATGTGCCTCCTATGCAAAGTGACGCAAGGAAAGATATTAAGCGACGAGGCACGGCCATGTTAAGCCTTGAGTGCAGAGCGTTCAAAATTGGAAGGTTTTACAAGTTAAGTGTAGGATTGTGCTCTTGGCCCAGTTTGACAAGTCCGAAATGCACGGTTCGGGTCCGACTGCATAGAAGTGATGAACGAATCTTCGCAGCATGGGATTTGCTATGGTTTGCTGGATCATCCTGCAAAGCTGCTGGTAAACGTTCTCCAGCAACAATCACGACCCTTTTTCGTAGACTGAATTCTTACATTTTGCGGGGCCTTTGGCCGTGACGGACGGGCACTCAGTTTGAAGCATGACAGGGATTCGAAGCATGTTTGATGGGACGGCAGGATTGGAACACTCTGGAGCAACTCCTGCGCTCTGTCACGAGCTTCCAGCTAAGTCGCAGCGGTTAGAGGTGCACTTGGCTTGGGCGGTGTGTTTGGCTGCGATATCTGTTCAACTGAGCTGGACTGGACGTATGAGCCCTGAGCAAAGGTTGTGAGCCTGCAATCGCGCCTGCTTTGGGTTCTTGTGTGGACCTAGGCACGAGAGCCTCTGTGCTGGAAGCCATGGTGCAGCTTAGCTGCAAGTTTGTGGTTAGCAAGCTGTGAGTTGTGCGCTTAACTTACACCATGCATCTCTTCGTGGAAGTGGCAGAGGCACTCAAAGATTGAACTGCGGGCCTCAACGATGTCCTACTTAGAAATTCCAAGATTGGTTCAGAATTGTAATAGCTCCGCCTGAAGTCAGAGAGGTTCCGCGGTTGTGCGGTTCCACAGCTAGCAGAGACTTGCAGCATCTAAGCGAGACATCCGCAAGCTCTGAAGCCTTCGTCCCGCAGAGTACGCTGAGTGCTAAGGTTTTGCATGGACAAAAGCGACTGGGTGCAGACCCCGGTGCAGATGCGGAAAGTGGCAGGGTATGCTCAATCAGGCTTTGTGACCTTCCTCTTAGCGAAAGAAGTGTTTGTTTGCCAGCCTCTTTAAAAGAAGTCAGAAAACTGTAGTCCAATCGAAATATTCACTCTTACCCACAAATCCACTGCGTGCATTGTGGCGAGCCTCAACCTTTTGAGATTTTTGAGCTATTTTCTGAGTTTACTTCTGATGTACACGTTGTGAGTTGGGTCAGCCCGCACCGGCTGCTGCAAGTTGTAACTTGAGCTCAGACCCTCCTCCAGAACTCTTCCCTGCAGCAATTCAACAAGCAGGTGCGTGAGTCAAATCGCATTCTAACTATTTCGCTGTAGTTTCTTGGCAGGGGCCTGTACCTCAAGAATAAAATGAATGGAATTGTGATTCAAACGCCAGTTTGAGTAGCCTTCTTTTGACTTTGATACGCGGCGAGTCCCAGCCTCGCGTAGCCTTCAGGCCATCGAGATCGCAGAGACCGTCGCTGAATCTCTCACAATCGTGGGGCCCACAGAGGATCGCGACTGGGTCGTAAGTCGTGAAGTTGAGCCCAGGATTTTGGGGTTCGAGTTTTCCAGGTGAGATCCTGGGGATCGGGCATGGTAGTCCCTAACCAGAAACAACTTGCTACTAAGCTGCAGCAAATTTCTCTGCAGCTTTCTTGTTTTGACACTACTGAGGTCGAAACAGAGATCCCGCTCAAGGTTGCGAGGACTGCTTCGATTAATCCGCAAGTGGATTCTCAGAAGGAGGGTTTGAGTTGTTCCCCACACTCTTGTACGGAGGGATTGAGGTGCTTGTTGAAAGCTTTTACATGGCGCGTTCAGTTTGCTCTGAACACTTCAGTATTTGAGATTCATGATGTTCTGCCGGAACATGATGCGTGAGAGTTTTGCCTGTCTTACAGGCTTTCCTTGGCCACGGCTCGAGTAGCCTGTGCTTCGAGTGAGGTGTTAGGTTAGGAAATGTTGAGAGGTTTGTGCCTGCTGAAGGTGCATCTATCTGCTTTGGGTCTACCTTTGCCTAGACACTCGAACGGTGTGGAGTTGCCGTCTCTAGCATAGCCTAGCCCTAATTTGTGGGGCTGAGGCCTCCTGGCTTGCCAGGCAGGATGGCGGCAACAGGTGATATCCTTCCATCAAAACATTTCCAAGACAATGAATCCTTAGCTCTGAGCCCCAATGCTTCTCGCTTCAAACCCTTGCTGAGCTTGATCTCTCTTTGGAGGCTTCTTGTTGTCAGCGACATCCTGCACAACACGACCTCCGCCAAGCCTGCGGCGTGGACGTGCGCCTACATGGGACGTGTCTGGACAACATGCCAGTTTGCTAACAAACCATCTTGAGGCCATCTGCCACTAGCTGTTGTTATTCGACCAATTCCTGACAGTCTCATGATGCGGCGGTGTCAAGAAACATGCGTTGTTACCCTTTTCATGTACACTTGTGGGAAGTGCATGTTGCTGAGCCGCATGATCCCACCAGAGTGACCCTACTTGGAAGAAATGCGTCGGCAGACAAAGACATGGCTTTCCAGGATTCAGATTGTCTCCAGCGCTGAGCTTGTTTTGTTCTTTTCGTTCTTGTGAAAGGAACGTCACGTCTTTCAGGGAGTGTCGTGCTGCGTCGTGCATCTACTGCAGGTACCGGCGTGAGTTTGAGAAATCCCTGCCGGACATCTTTGAGCAGTTTGAGATAGGCCGGACGTAGCGCTAATGTAAACCAGCTCGCTTTGAAACGCGCCCCCTTGAAAAACAGACGTTAACGGCAGGGCCCTAGGTTCTGTTGCTTTCAAGACATGTGGGTTCTGTGGACACATCACAGAAATCATCGAGCCATACTGTTGTCCATGCAGACTCACATTGCTTTCGCTTAGAGGGAGGGTTTCAGTCACTTGCCTCGTTGGCCCTTGACCCAGCGAAATGCTTGCAAGCCTGGCCGTGCACATGCCTCTACCCGCCCCTACCCTACAGCATATTGAAAGGTGTGCATGGTAGATCATCAATCATTGCTGTAATATGCGCTGCTTTCTCGATGGCACCTCAGGCATGGATCCATGGCTAAATCTTTCATGCTGTCTGCCTACAGCCGCCATCATATGCTCCCAACATTGACAGCGAGTTAAAAGGGACACAGGATTTGTACGCAGTCGCATACTACGACCTATCTGGAAGCTCGAGCGCAAGAATGCAAGGCTTGAATCCCGAAGGAACACGTCTCACAGCACACCAAGAACAATCCCCCACCAACTTTCTCAAGTCGCAGCTCTGAGGTAGGCGATATGTTGAGAGCGTGCGGTGAGGTCTCAGCCGCTCAGAGAGTAAGATCCAAGTGGCGCAGGCTCGAGACCAGGCGCACCGAGCAGGGTAGCAGATGGGGTTCCTGGACCGCCATGGCAGGATCATGGTAGAACTGCCCTGGATCCTGAATGGTCCGTCTTGTGTACAGAACACGTGCTTCACATTCTTGTGCAAATTGGCTGTCGATATTCCTGACATGACATGGGAGGCACAGGCCCCAGCCTTAATTTCATGCTTGCTGGACCAGCATGCTGAAATTCTCAAGGGTTTCCGGCCTTTTCTTCATTGGTCAGGGTTCTCGCAGAGGGTGTTGTTCCTTGTCATCTGGAGGTTCAGACTTTGCGTCTGCTGGACCAAAGTGCCTGTGCAGGTAGCCAAGATCCTGAAAGTCTGGGAGGCGGATGTGGTTGCATGATCATGGGCTGTATCGTGGATATCTTCAACTGAAGCTGCCACTAGCGATATTCTCGGTGGGACCGTACAGCAGAAGCAGCAGCAACAGCGGCATTTGCTGTTGCGCAGGTAGTGGTGGTTCTGGTGGTACTGGTGGCCGTCGTTGTCGTCCTGAAGTTTTTCGTTGTAGTTCTTATGGTCAAAAGAATCATTTTCATCGGTGGGAAGCAGGCTGCAATCCCGGTGCTGTAGTCATTGTAGTTGAAAGCTTCGTAGTCCCCAGGGTGGTGGTCTTAGTAGCAGTAGCAGCTTTATTCCAGTCAGCAGTCTTGCAAGCACTATGAAGCAGTAGTAGAACAAGTGCATCAGCAGCACGAGCGGCATATCGCAGGACAAGCAGTAGCAGAAGTGCCTTCATAGGGCCATCATGGCATGGGTAGTATTGTTCATGATTGCATATCTAGCGTATGGCACTAGCGGTGTGTAATATGTGATGGGCAGCATAGTATTCTTCAGGCAACGTATGTAATGTGTGAGTAGTAGGAGCTTCATCCGGGCTTCATTTGAACACAGAGTTTCTGCGCAGTGTACAGGAGTATGAGTCAGGTATGAAGGGTTCCAGTTGTGTACAGGAATTGCATGGAAAATATTCGGGTGCCGCATCTGTACGACATGAGGGGAATCATGTGTACCAGAATCACAAGCGGTGGCTCGTAGTCCACTTCAGATGCGTTTCTCTTGTCCATAGTTTCGTTACGTGAAGCTGCAAGCTTCCCAAGTCAGTCCCGAACTACCAGCTTTCCCGCCAGGCTTCCACAGCTGCCGTAGCTTAGAGTCTTCAGAATTAGCTTTGACAGTGTCAAGTTGGGTTTCCCTGTCCTTGCACAAACCTTGCAGCAGCAGAATCGCAGCAGCAGTTGCAGCATGGGGTGCTGCAGCTGGGAATATTTTTGTCAGACAGGCAACGTTCCAGCAAAGAAAACGAACCTGTTCTGCGATGCCAGATTACCCGCACAACTGACCCGAAACCTGCTGCTGGAGCACATTCCGATGATCAGATAAGCTACGCACTTTCTAGAAGGTATGTTGAAGCCAGTTAGCATATTGCAGTACGCTTAGGCAAAGGGCTCCTGTCCAGCTTACCTCGCTCTTCAGACAGTTTGATCGTCAGTTGCTCCTGGCTGTAGTTCAAGCCCCGATCACCCATCCAGTCAGTATTGAACCTCAGAGGCCTTATAACTGAAGCTGCTCTGAAAAGGACTGGGGTCTCTTTCCTCCGCAGTTTCTGCGGGGCCTGGAGGCCATCAGCTGGGATTTGACAGGGAAACTTCGCAAGACTGAGATTCAGCAGGTCGACTTCTCCTCAGAACGCATGTTCAAAATCCCAACTTCTCTCAATAACTCCGGTGCTTGACCCACCTTTGAACTTTCAAGCTGGATCCCGTTTCAGCAGCTTTGACCTTCTTAATGTGTAATGCGAGCGTCAGGCCCGCTTGACCAGTGAGCCATGTGCCGTGCACACTACTTTCCGATTAACAGACTGCTTCCTTGTGGGCAGCTCTAGGAGGTGCGCGCCTTGTCCCAGCCAAAAATGTTTGTCTCGCGAGTCTGGCATGGAACAACCTAAACTGTGCATAACTGCGCAACCTTGGCTTCAAATGCAAGAAGGTCCCCTTGACTCGCTGCTCATCAATGTAGGTTGCGAGGAATTGCGTTTCGGATCGTTTCCTTCACGCTTGTCGGGCTCCAGGGCTTGCCTGTGAAGGGGATTCAGCCAGCATGACAACAACTCGTCAGGCCTCAGTCATGATTGGCGTCCGGCGGCTGAGGCCAAGCCGTTGTGCCCTCCTTTTCATGACGTCCATCATTCTGTGTCCGCTGGTTTGCTGCCGAGTGTGACAGTGAACGCTCCTGTGCACACCATTCCACATAAGAGTTGTTGAAATCCTAGACGCCCTATCAGGACATGCATTTGTGCAAGTTTGTTCGTGATTTTCGTAAGACATGGCTCGAAGCTGTGTCAGAAGAACGCTTAGTGCGGGCAGTTGCTGTATCTGACCAGCCAAACTAACTTCTATCGCGTGCCCTGCAAAGTGAATCTGAACACAACGTGACGGCCCATTTGGCCAATCGGTCAGGGCGCTGGCGAGCAAGGGCGACTCTTCTCGAGAACCTGCTTGGTTCCTGACCCGGCAAAAAGCAGGGAAGGGAGCTTCCACAAATAGCGGCAGAGGATTAGCCACCTGAGGGTCCCAATTCTTGGGATCTTCACATATGTATGACACATTCCCCGACCACTCCAAGATTACATCCATTGACTAGCCCTTTGCTCCGGTACATGTCGGGCCTTTCTACCTTCATGTTTGCTTTGAAGTTTGACCAGCAGTGGATCCTCAGGTAAAGGGCATGCATTCTCTGTGCGGTTCTGTTATCGCGACATGAGATCGACTGAGGTTGGAGCCAAAGTTGGCAGATTGGAGGCGTCAACACTTCTCGCAGGCTGGGCTTCAATGCTTTGTCTGCTTCGCGCTCGGCTGTGGACGCGATGGTGGACGACCTTAAGATTGGTGATCCCTCTTTCGTGTGAGCGCTTGTTTATTCTTGAATGTCGAGGTCTGGAGATGATGTTGCCGGCAGTTTGTGGTAAGCTTTCAACCCCACACGGTACATTCAGTACACCTTGACAACCCCTACGCTAGCTAAACAGGAGTTGCTACTGCAGGTGTGCAGCGGTCCCATCAAAGAATCGGTGAGTATACGTAATAGTTTGATAAGGGTTGGGCGATTGGCATCCAACGTGGAATGCATAAAAAACGTGCTTCTAGTATGCAACGCGCGCCAGAACCGCCCGCCAGGGGCGCCTGCGTGCGTGTCGTAGCGAAAGAGCTTTCGATAGGGCCTTTGCAGTGGTACGGCGATGTCGTCGGCGACGCGACGACGACGCGAGGACGACGCGGCGGCGGCCAAGACCAGGACGACGGTGACGGCGACCGGAGGACAACAGAGGATAAGCACGACGCCTACCATGAAGACGACCAGCCCCAGAGCTCTTCCTACCACCAAACCGCCGCAACACTGCCATTTCAAGACCTTCCAAACCCTGTGAACTGACAGTTGGAGAAGATGTGCCGAGCTCGCGGCCTTCGTGGTTCCACGGCCCACCTGGAGGCCTCTGGAACGCTGGGGTGGCCCAGCAAGGTCCTAGCGAGGAGTTGGGGGTCTTCAGAAGAGGGGGTTCTGGGGGTTTGAGGCTTGTAGGATTACTGGGTTGGGCAGCATGTTGATAAGTTAAGAGGTGGGTATGAATGATGATTTCTTCAGGTGCTTTGACAATGTAAAAGACTAGTTTCGGCAGCTTGGCTTTGTGGCGGTCGGGCAAGACGAGACGCAGCTCTGCAGTTCGGGGGAGCCATCTACTACCTCCAGCACGAGGTCGAGGTCACGCAGTACTTTAGAGTGCAACGCGTTGTAGTGCTGATTCCGCAAAGCGCGGTCATTGTGAAATAGTCTGGAAGTAATGCAGAGGTCAAGCAGGTATTCAGACATTGGTTGACAGGCCATGTGCCTCAAATTTGTGAAACGTTTGCACCCAAGACCAACAGGAAAAAAAAAACATGGCCTCCCGACTCAGCTGCAGCTTCAGTCCTCTGCCGCACGAGCTGGTAAAGCAAAAAGCTCCCAGGCTCAGCCTAGAGGAGGCCCGCAAAGAATGGCTCATTGACCGTCTGGCTCGCCCCTCAAGACTTGGGGTTTGGGATGTTCGGCTGTGACTTATGGCACCTTTTGGAACGCGCTGTTACACTCAAGGACTCACGGCTCAGACTTTGTTTATCTATGCCCCAGCATCTTCAATCAAGATCGGTGCTACACTGGGTCCAGCATTGACAACAACCTGCTTGAATGCTTCCTGCAGGTTCCTAGAGGATTTGTATGTCTGGTGCTGAATAAAAGCCAGACTCCGACCTGGGCTGCCTTCAGGTCACCTATGAGCTGATGGCGCATGAAAAGGAGCAGGCCGGCCTCAAGTGTGGTGTTCACGAACACGGACTTCTCTCCGCTGCCCACCCATACGTTTTCACGGATGCAACCCTCACCATTTAGGGTTCGGGCTGCTCTTGTTGTGCTGGCTTTAGCCCCCATGGCCAGTAGTGAGGACCCACTTTAATCCTAGTTCCAGGCTCTCTCACACAACACTTTATATGTTTTTTGAGAGGTTCTCAGTTTGGTTCATCAACTTTCTTTGCTCTGGCCACGCCCTATCCTGCAGCCCGAGTTTTTCTCCGTTCCAGTGCCATTGAAGCTCCGGGCACGCAAACCGTTGACCCAACTCTTCTTTAATTCGCACTTGGCATGTAGCTCTTTGACTTTGGCGGAGGTGCAAATCCTTAAACGCAGAGCTACCCCAAAGCCAAATGAGTTTCACGTCCACAGGCCGCCGCGAGGCTCGCGAGGCAGCTGGAAATTTTTGAGAGGTTAGAGATGTATTGGGTCTCTACGGTCAGGCCTGAGGCCTGGGCCTGGAAGGTTGGTTGGCTGCGTGAGCAGAGGATACTATCTCTGATCACTGCGGAAGCAGGTTTTTTGTTCTTGCGATTCCTGCTTGGATTGTGCCTGGATTGTGGATTAAGGGAACGACAGCCACCGCCTCCTGGGTTTTCTGGGCCAAATCCCAAGATTTGAGCCCTCATGTAGCAGCTGCAGCTTCCTCTCTTGAGTATTTGGTGCACTCAGGAACTCACCAGCTGAAGTGACACTACTTTACCTAAACCGCTACATGTTTTGTGTTCCATCCCCAGACTGGAGTGGCCGATCCGCTGCAATACATTGCAACATGGAGTATCGCTTCCTGGTTCACTGGATCCTCTGAAAGGAGCCTGCACCTGAGAATCATGGTTTGAGCATCGCCAAAACCCAGTCCGAAACGGCAGGCGAAGGAGTCGCGGCCTTGAAGATATTGATGGCGAGGACACCTTCAGCTTCAGAAAGTGGAGCACGATAAAGGCTATCTTTTGCTCCCGGAATGCGAGCATTCACTAGCATGCTTCTGTGACAGCCGTCATGTTTGAGCTTTGCAGTGCAGCTGGTCATGTTGATCGCATCTGCTTCAGCCTGGGATATCTCCAGAGTTGAAATTCTGTAATGTATCCATGGCACATTCTTGATTATTGATCCCAAGTGTCTTTACCCCTCTACCAAACTTGCAGGACGTAAAGCAACAATGCGCCTACGTTAGGGTCCACCGACGCTTCCGTCTTTGGGCAGGGCCCACTGTCATGAATGGCGCATCTGATGTAAAATCACGCGATGTCTGCCGTTCAGGTGTCCTTCCTTCTTTGGTAACAGCTTCTGGCCTACGATGCAATTGGAGAGCTGAATCATCAAATGGCTCCAGAACTACTAGTTTTGGCTCTCCCAGTTCAGTGCCTGTCCATTCAATTGTACACAAGTGGCCTGCAATTGAGAGAGGACTTGGCAGACGGCTTTCCGATGGATGATGCGGAGCTCGATGGCGAGCCTCTTGACCTGTCTACACCAGGCTGGCCTTTTCTTGACCTTGAGACCTAGAGCAGCTCGTTGAGAAAAACCAGAACTCGTGACCTGACGAGAAGCAGAGCAAGTTGTTCACGAGATTTGCCTGTAAACGTTGCTTTGTCATGAAGCTTTCTGGCTCGTGTAACCCACAGCGCCCAAACAAGAGGCCAGAACTCAAGTTCACGAGGGGGGTTTGTCTCAATTGATGCCCATGACCTCTGGCTACGCCACGACGTGAAGCATCTAGCTGCTTGCCTATTCGCGCTTTTTATCATGCTGGTGGAAACACACTCGTACGATCGGAACCATAGGCCCATACAGCCCCAACAGACCTTACTTGCAGGCGAGATCTTCAAAGCTGTAGAGCTGGCAAAGCAAGCGCCCGAGGCCGACAGTTCTTGGCTCGGATGTAGCATCTGAGCATGATTTACCGTTGTCCCGTTTGGCGGCGTCTTGTGGAGATAAGTTTCAGGGCCCGCAAAACATAGCTGTTCAATTCACATGTTGGGGTTGACATGGCCAGCAGTCATTTCTGTTTCGCACCATGAAGCACACAATCTCAGACGCTTTACAGCCAAACATCAGGTCCAAATCTACTCAAGCGTATGTGATTCAACTCCGCCTGTGGTACAGGGATCCCGACCGAAAGAGAGACGTGGACAAAGCCATCACACTTGTGAACTGGCTTTCGGAAACGTTGAGAGTCTTGGCATCGTGCGTAGCCTTACACTCCTTGAGGCATGAGCCACCTACATGGTCCAAGACACTAGAGCAAGATTGGTTGGTCTGATTTGTAGTTGCAAGCTTCTGTCTTTCTTTGTTTGACTCCGTCTGTGCTGGTGCAGGCGTTGAACAGTCGCTACAATCACTACAATTCAATACATCCAGTAGCAATATCCCTGTATACTAAGATCAGCAACCCAACAGTTCAGTCAACATCAACCCATTATGGGTGAACTTCAATGAAACCTTGCAGGCGCTGGCTGGCTACCTTGGTGCCGTGGGCTCACCTGAGGTGCTGCTCGGCGGTTTCGTCCGGCTCTCGTGGACTTAGCCCTTTCAGCTGCCCCTTCAGGTAGATAATGCTCTTTGAGGCTCTGGGATTTGGAAGATTTCGCAGAGTGTTGGCTCGCATATTTTCGGACTGGGAGATTATGGAGATTTCATTGGCTTCACCCTTGAGCTCTTGAGCTGATTGCATGTAGCATGTCTTGATTTGGCGCCAAGAACTTCAACACTCTGAGATCTCTTCAACATATTCTATCCTACATTCAAAAGTTCCATGAGGACCATAAGCCTCTGCTTCAGATTCACACAGTCGTGCTGATGCTGTGCTTAAGATATACTACGCAGCACCCTTCCCGGCGGAGAAGGTTCAGCCTTTCAAGTCTGACTCCTTGAGTGACAATCTATGCTTAAACTTACCTGAGTCCAGAGCATGCAATAGCGATTTCAGAAGCAGGTGTCTATCTTGTGGACGGCCTTCATCGGTGGGGTATAGAGATTGGACGCTGTGAGTTGGCTTGAGCTATGCCCTGCATCCCTTAAACCATGTCCAGGTGAAGGCTTGAAATGAAGGGACAAGGTTCACCACGCGCAGGTAACGCAGCTATCGCAAGACAAGGCTTAGCCAAGGCAGTAGACAATATGCACAGCTAATCTGCAGGAAAGCAGTGATTGAAGTCCATGCATGATTCATGCCCGCCGAAATTGAAAGGTCCTCGGTGCAGCCCTCGCCGAAAGCGCCACAGGATCTGAGGAGGTGGCGAAGCATCTTTGAGCATCTTGCGCGATCAGGGTTTTCACTTCAATCAAGCTCAGCAGACTTCGTAGGTATGGGTCCAATGTGGGTCGTAAGATGCAAGGACACATAGTGGCAGTTGTAGTGAGTATCAATGAATAGTCTAGTCATCACAATTTTTGGTAACACTTGCAACCATTCTATGCGCAGCCTGGTATTGGCGCCTTCCGTTTTCTTGAAAATAGCAAAAACTGCCTGCCCTCGGTACCAAGAAGTCAATGACACCAAAAGTGAACCCTTGCTGGCCACTGCTGCGGCTGGTTGTTGGACGGATCCTCCTAATGCAGGCCGCAGCCTAGGCTGGTGCAGAAACGCCCTCTGTTGCTGATGATGCTGGCTGTCAGGGATCACCAATTAATGATCCATGAGTATGTGCAGATCGATTCGATATCATGCCTTTGTGCAGGTGGTCAGCGAGATCAGTGCCGAGGATTGACGTGCACTTCTTGGAATTCACACCTAAGGGGAAGCCACTTGGGCTTTAGCGCAAAAAGGCGCCCCCCCTAGGTCAACTTTAGGAGTGGCTTGGAATTCCTCCTGACCGATAGGGCTTGGTACAGTTTTTGTCGTGGTGGCTCTGAAGTGGCGAAGTCCCTAGCCGCTCCAGTTTAACGCATGCCACCGGTTTGGAGGTGACACCCTGATGGGCATGGGATCTTGTATACCTTTTCGTCAATGAAGCCCTGAGATACAAGCTGCACACATTGCAGGAGTCCGGCGGAAAGAACCATGAGGCCCCTCTGGGTGAAATGTCCCCAGTCGTCCATTTGGCGAGATCATAGATGTGTGCACATGCTCAGTTACTTGTGACTGAGTTGTTGTCAGATCACAGAACTTGTGAGAGATGTTGAATTACGTGCTCTAGGCCTAGCCACATGTTCTCAAAAACGAACCCAGGAGTCACTAACGGATGCTCTGCACGAATGGGGCGAGTTGCAGGTGTGCATGCTTAACCCACGCAGTGCCTCGTAAAGGACCCCAAGCTGGTGGGAGTCTGGTAGCTGCAGCTTATGACAATCCAGCAATGATAGCCTTGTATCCTCGTCCTTGCAAGTTGCACATGAGGCCATCTGCGTACCACATTATACTGGTACACAGCTGCAACGTCTCAACCAGTTTCTGAAGGGAGGACAAATCAGAGCCGATTGTCAAAATTCAGATGCTATGGTGCCAGGCCACCGAGAAGCAACCCCAGGACAGCCAAACTGCACAGTCATGTAGGCGACAGGAGATGGGAATATTTAGTATCAGGTCAGGTTCTGTCGAGCTCGTTCAGGCCTAGACCAAGCTTCGCCAGGGCCATGCGGAGAGAACCTGGTTGTTTAGCTTGCGGAGATTTGATTGGGTTCAGCGTGACACAGGAGCCCTCAAGATGTTACACACGAAGTGGAGAGCGAAGCTTCCTTACGCATTCTCAGCAGCACCAGGAGGAGGAGGAGATGTTAGACATTCAGCGTCCAGGGTCAGCAGAATCCCAGAAGGATGAGGCAGCTCGGGGCTCCCGACGGGCTTTTTAAGCCATAACTGGCCATAACCATAACAGCATACAGTGCACGGCCTGAAAGGGTTTGCCAACATTTCCCATTGTGTCAGGGCAAGGCCTTCTGGTGATATGTGCAGAGTTTCGAGCGTTTGGTTTCTCAAGTTTCATCCTTGTATGTGTTTCCCGACAGTGCAATAGCTCTCAAAAGAAGAAGCCCTGGCTCAGATTCAACAAGAGCACTGCAAGGACAATAGCTGAGTGCTAGGCTGTCCCTTCCGATGAGCAAAAGCCGGGAACTTCGAAGCACACCCTCGGAGACATCCTGTCACAAACGGCTGAAATCACATGCTCTGATTCCCAGAGTGATCCAGAGTGGCACTGTAGATTTGTTGTAGGGGCCATTTTAAATCACAGTAGGTCCGTCAGTGGCTATCGCCCAGGGCGTCAAAAAAAGCTTCCAGATGTTGCCCAAACAGTTGCAACTGTACTCATCTATGCCCTTTGTGCGCAGGTGCAGGGCGAGGTGTCCCGACACCATTTGACCTTGGCCAGTCGAAGATTCTTCACTGTAGACATGGGGCAAGCTAAGTCATCCCTAACTCAGTTATAGAATATTCCCGGTCAGGATGCAATCTTGATCAGGTAGGGTTAACGGTGTGAAGCGCAGCCTGCAAAGTTCGAGCCAACAATGGGTTTGAAAGCAGCGTGGAATAGTGCCTTGCTTCAGGGACTAGTTCCCAACACCTCGAATTATGATGGACGACGAATGGAACGAGTCATTGGACATCCTGATGGTTTTCTCTTCCGTTGAGGAGCTAGGGAGAAGAATCAAGACTGGATAGCCTGCCCTAGCCTCCGCTGAGGAATTCTTGGGCACCTGATGTGTCAGAGTTCTTCATCTTTAGGATTTGGATGCTTGATTTGGGGCCGCGGCCGGGCTCTGTAGCTGACGTTTTGAGAGCCACGGCGCATGTAGCTGCCATGGCAGTCGAAGGAGCCACCCTGCAGATTCTACCAGGGTTGAGCGCAGTATACGGTTGACGGTAATTAAGTTTTCCAGCAACCGCAAGAACATGATCCTTTTTTCGGTTTCTTGTCAGTCGTTGTCACGATGCGGAAATTGTCTACATCTTCCGTCTTTAGGACGACATCAGGAATGGGGGCCAGGGTCTGATAGCTACTTTAGTGGTGTCTGGTAGCTCCATTCAGCAGTTCGGCTCAGTTGCAGCTTCGAAGGTTCCACAGAGCTGATGGGGTGTTGGGGCTCACAGCGGATTGAACAGGGCATCGCCTCTGCTGTAGAATAACACCAAATGAAATTCACTGCAGGGGGTCTTCGAATCTGCTCTCCTGTTCTCATTTCAAGAGCAGCCAAGTACTCGAGTCCTTTCTTGAAACATCTGAGACGAGTGACTGGAGTTCTTTTTCATCGTACGAGGGGGCTTCCATAAATGCAAAGAGAAATCCTCTATAGACAGGATGCATGAGGCGAAGCAATATTTCAAACTGTAATCCCCACTACCGTTTGGTACGCAGATCAGATTTCAGAGTCAGGTCGCCTATCCTCATCTTAAGAGCATCCAAGTAACTTTTTTGTAGAAAGTTCTGAAGCTGAGAACATGCAAGTCATTTCAGGGCTCGAAATCATCTTCTGCAATTCTCAGGCTTTGTTGGCTGCAAATTCCACCCTGCCTCTCGTTGAATCTCGAATCCCAAATCTTGCCCCCAACATTTTTTCAATTCTAACGGGCTTTATTAAGAAAAATCAACAAAGCAAAGCGTTTGCTATCGCGAGGAGACGAGCCCAAGAGTGCCACTGCCTACAGTGGCAGACAGAGCCCGGATCCAATTCTAGCGCATTAGATCCAAGGCACAGGATAGCGAATGAGGTCCTGAAGCTTAGGATGAGGGTAGGCTCTCAAATTCAAATTTTTGAGTCGATGATTCAAAAGGCAAGTTGAAGAAATGTAATACACCGTTCTATGGCACCTGTCAACTTGCGGAAGTATCAGAGCATCAGTGGAAGCCACTGCACGAGAAGACCCAAACCCTACACATACGAGCCATTCTGAGGCACGTCGACTCGAAATCCTCACACTGCGCGGAAGGCGGGCAGAAGCTGCTTTACCACAAGCGTGGAGCACCTGGCTTATAAAGCACTGAAGGCCCCGGGGCAGCTCGCTGCTAGCTGTCAGATTCAGCACACCAGTAATTTTATAGGCATGTCTGCGCTCGAGATGAAGCTGCAGCTGAATGCAATCGACTCCTATTCCACATGCTTGAAAGCCTTACTGGAGGCCTTGGATGCCAAGGCGTTGTCCAAGCTGAGCACAGAGGACCCTAGCACTTGTCTGGGAATTGGGAAGGATTTGTTGGAGTCTGTAGCTTCCGTCACGTAGCCATCACATTCGGCTCGGTACTAGGAAGTGTTCCGAGGATTCCGCTTCCGAACCCAACAAGGGGTCGAGCTCCTGGGCACAGGCATCCATTGCCCGAGCTCAGCCGTAGTGCACAGACGCTTTACTTATCCAAACTTGTCTGTTCTGTTCCACCAGACGTACTAAACGTACTGCTTCCTCTCGAAAGGAATAATAGCAGCAAACTGGAGATCCCAGTCAGTGCAAGCAGCTGCTTGGGAGGACCGCGTGCTTGCTCAGTGGCGGGCAGCATGCGGATGTCCAATCTCTGACGAGGCAAGGAAGACAAGCTGCATTTGGGATCTGCCCCTTCACCTGATACTTGCGAACTTGGCACCATTTCATTTCTTCGGCTTCTCCTGTAGGCCGTTATTTGTTTTCAGGGTTCTTTACAAGATCCCTAGCTTGCAAAGTCTCCAAGTCTTGCTGATTGAGCTCCAAGCCGTCAGCCATTCAAACTTTAAACAGCATCCAGTCATTCACCTCTGAAGTTCAAAGTGTCCGTTCTGAGGAGCATCAAACTCTCTGTGCGTCTTTTGTTTTTGTTCAGTCTCTGCCAATGACCCCTGCGATGTAATGCGCTATTGCGATAAGACAGCGCGTAGACACAGGACATCACAGGACAGACTGGGTCGCATCTCTCATTTTTTAAAGCTGTGCACATTTTGTGGTGGGCCCTGCCCAGAAACGCCCTTTATGGATGAGTCTTCAGTCCCAGAACCTCTCCACACTGCGGACACCTTAAAGCGGCCAAGCTGTGCCCTTGAGGCCAAAGCTCAGTTCCGCATCCAGTGTCTGGGGAGAACTTTTGACTTGGCAGATGTGAGGCCAAATCGCTGGCTTCAAGATTGTTGGATTGGCGGTTGTTGGAGCTAAGGGATGTGGAGTTTAGGAGGAGTTCTCTGCAATTTCGGAATTGCATTCCGGGGCTGATGGCTTTCGCGCTCACAGTCATGTTTTCAGCGGCCGACTTCAACTTCGTTGGGTGGTGTTTTGGGCTTCGGACTTTCGATTTGTTCCCTGAGGGTTGGGGCGGCGTGCCTTCAAGTTGGGGCCTATCCTGCTTCTTGATTCAACGTGCGTTCAGCCCTGAAAAGGTCACTTCTTGCTTGTTGTGGATGCAGTTTCTCAGCATCTTTATTGTGCGCTTTCACCGACTGTTCTATACCTTCGCTGACTGCGTTGCAGATTTTGCATGTTGAAGCCTTGTGAGCAGGACACTTTCAAACAAGGTCTTTTGCAATAGCCAAACTTTTCTTTCAACGCACAAGCTGCTTCCCCGCTTTCTTCAGCCGCCTCCCAGCAATCCAAGTTACCTCACAAGGTTACAGGCCCTCTACTTTCGTGTATTACTACTCAAGCACAGAATGCTACGAGCGTGGCCGTGAGAACAAACCCTGATTCACAAACTAAAATTCCACACATCATAGACCAAAGAATATCCGCACAAACCTCAAAATCCCTGATTCATAAACAAAAATCTCCGCTTATAGACTACAAATCTCGGATTCGTACGATCCGAACCACCGATTCATAAAGTAAAATCCCTGCTTCATGAAACTTCAAATCCCTGATTCATAAACTCCAAATCCCCGATTCCTAAGCTCACCGAAGCTATGGGGGTGGGGCTGGGGGTTGGGTACTTTTCATTTCAGGGGTTTTAGTTTACCAGTCAGGGCTTGCAGTTTACGAATAGGGGTTTGTAGTTTCCGAAGCAGGGTTCTAGTTTTTGATTCAGGGCGTGATCATGGCCATGAACTCGGAGTGTTCCAGGTTGTGGCAGCTGCACCACGCTCCAGGCAAGTCTGGCCAGGCTGCCATCCAACAATCTGTCAACCTCCAGCCCTATACGTAAAGATTCACAGCCGGCACTTTCAACTGCTGAGCTTGCAAAGTTCGATCAACAGCCAGATGGTCTGCAGGAAGGTCATTTATGCTCTGCTACTGTTCTAAAAGATGCAAAGCTTCTAAAGCGGTTAGCAGTGCCGCGCTTGGGAACAAGCAGATACTGAAGCTGTGCAGATGTTCTCCAAACAGGTGCCTAGAGTAAAGACATACTCTCGCGCTCCTTACAGTTTCTCCTTTGAAAGTTGCTTGTTACATGCCTGGAGCGTCACTCGGACTGCTCCGCGGTACTGAAACAGACTTCAATATCATGGGCAACTTTACAGTATATATCTTTTTTTCTCAGACTGCCTCCTTTTGTCAATCTCCACTTTGTGGTTAGCGATGCGGAGGTTACTCAAGTTATCTTCATCTTTATGTACCCAACCTGTGCTGGAGAGTTTTTGCGGACCACCTGAGATATCTGCCACTGTTGGCCGAGAACCCGGCTGAAAGCAACTCCGCTAAGAGGCAATTTCACCTCAAATATTTGCACTCATGCAGTGCATTTGTATCACCAAAAATTCAAAAAGTAGTTAACAGGGACCTGCAGTCCTAAACCACCCGGGTATCTGCCGAGCTATTCTTCAGCCTTGTGTAAATTTGCGACATGCTCACCAGAGGTTTTGATCAGCAACATGCGTCACCATGAAGTCAGCTAGAGTCTGAGCAGCAAGTTTCTCAGCATGCTCGCAGGCAACGATTTACTTAGAGTTCTTCTTCGACGGGTCACCGGATGAGATCCGCGATGATGAAGAGGTGCATTTTGTCGACGACCTAAGCACACCACAAACCTCATCCCTAGACATCCAAAACTGTCACAAGGCCTGCATACTCTCCAGTCTGAGCCACAGTGAAATATCTAAGATTGCAGGATCTCAGGCTTTGTTGGATCCATGCACCACTCAAGCCATCACTGCACAGGTATGTGTCATGGCATTTGATATGTATGGTAGCTGTCTTCGACTATGGAGGGACCGGTTGATAAGACAGGGTCTTGGCATTTGTGGCCATATGCATTTGTAGGGTTTGTTTTTGTCACTGAAACAAAGCTTGCCAATGGGTCCAAAGAGCAGCAAGAGGGTCTACCCAGGTGACGGGGAGTCTAGACCTTGCTAATCCTTAACTCTGCAAAACTGTCTGTTCCGTTAGCAGACAGCCAGTGTGGTATCTACACAGCCCTGCTTTGCCGCCCGCTTCTCAAGGCTGGTGTAGTGCGTGA